TTAGGATGTGTGGCTGCGGTTCCTCACCAAGCAATGATTTAGAAGCCACTCCATTGATTTCAGTGGAGCCCACTTCTAAATGAGTGAATTCGGCTTGCCTCATCCATCAAAGTATGGTCCAAGGTTTGCTGTATTATCTTACTGAAATTTGGTCATGGTGCAGATGGAATTGCTGGGTGAGGTAGTAATGAGTGGTGAGTGACCCTAGCCTGTCTCAAACTAGTTTTGTGTGACATTTTTAGCTCATTATGCCAGAACTGGGAACTGTGGTTAATGCTAACTATGGTGTATTGAAAAAGACAGGCCCATAAATCATGGTTTGATTCAATAGCATGGTGAGCACAAGCCACAGTTTGCTTGGACATAATAGCCACCTTTACATGATCAAATCCTGGCTTAAAAAGTCAAGATATGCACAAGCTTCATTTGTCCACATGTAGCTCCTTTACATGCCGTTTGTGCCTCTCTTTGTGTGATCAGGGGAGCGAACCAGGAAGCCACAGTTAACCATAACTTCCCAATATGTGCAAAGCTGGAACTATTCCTAAAGGTTTCCAAATGAACCTGTATTCCGAAGCCAATCTTAAAGAATTGCTTCCTGGTTTGTTTTCCCTGCTTGCAGGAAGGGAGGAGCCAGGGCCGTCTTTACCTGGGGGCACAAGGGGTGTGGGGCACCTGGGGGCCGAATTCTGAGGGGCGCCAAATGTATACCTACTGTATACCTGTCTCTCTCGATTGGTGGCAGTGAAAAGCAATGGAGTGAAAGTCCACCCCCCTCCAGTGCTCTGTTAGTCAGGAAACAAAAGCAGTTATTTCTGCTGCTTCATTGTTGCAGGTGAGCGATTTTCCTCCCCCAAAAAACCCAACAACATTGATTTTGCCCCCCCCAAAAAATTTGGGGGGCAGCTAAACTAAATTTGGGGGCACTGGGCAGATATTTGCACCCAGGAGGCACATATGCTATAGACGGCCCTGGGAGGAGCAAAAGATTCATGCGTGGGTATATTCAGGATTCAGTTGCATGAATCAGGCCAATAAGTATCCATAGTTAGTTGAAAATGGAAGCTTCAGATCTTCTTCTCATGGTTGCACTAAAGGAGGAAAGGAGAACACACAAACTTGGGGCTTGTGGAGACATAGCCTAGGCACACCAGTGAAAACACCAATAAGTAACAGTGATCTGATCAAAGACTTACCATATTGCATAGGAACCTAGTGATGGCATTCCCCTGGAGATAAAAATGTTGTGACAATAAAGGCGAATCAATGTTCCTTTAAACTAATATATCAATTGATTTTGTGACTGAATATCAGTTATAGAATATCTATAGTTTCCTTCCTTCCTTTCTTTTCTTTATTATATCCTTGTCCCTCATATTATTCCCATTATTTTAAAGTATGTTAAGGATTGCAGCCCTAATTTGAATCTATCCATATACAAACATTTTCAGAATATACCACTGACATGGAATACACAATGATGAATCTTGAACAATCTGCTCTACCCTTCTTAAACCCTCCTGTTTGGCTTGTTAGCTCCTAACACATTTCATTCAGCCAGTCGAAAATTACACGTTAAGGGTTGTTCTCTCCCCCACTTTTTTAATTGACAGATTGAGACCCTGACATATATCAGTCCTATCTATTAAGTCTCTTTGTAAAGGACCAGAAATAAATTACCAGAGGTCAAGTTCTGTTTATACAGTGGACTGTTCTTGCAGAATTGCCTTCTTGACTTAATAGCTTCCTTTTGGGTGACATTTCTCCCAGAAAGAAGACAAATTGTCTAAGGTCAACCTGCAGATCAGCTCAAAGTGTAGGAGGAAATTGTATGGGATCAGCTAAATTGCACCAGGTCTACCAACCAGCCTTTGGCAGCATGCCGCCAATCGCAAAGCAAGGAGAAAAACTACAACCTTGCCTTACTGGGTAGACTAAAACTGAAGCCAAATGTGTAAGAAAGGCTTTTGAAATCAGCAGTAAAATATTCTAGTGCTTGAACGTTTTCTGATTTAGGCTCATCTTGAATCTAACTAGGCACAGTAAGTTACAGTAAAATTAGATCATCAAATGTTTCATTATCATTTCATACATTTCCCTCCATTTAAAGAAAAGAAGAGGGGAAAGCCCAACAATTAATGCTTTTGCTTAAAGGAATGAAATCACTCAAAATACACTATAAATTGAATTGCCCTTATTTCCTTTCCTCTCCTCCCAATTTCTCTTTGCTGGAGGTGCAGAATGTGGGAATCTTATGATGGGCAGAGGCTCTGTAAGACTGCAGTGGATAAGACTTTCTCATAGTTGATGACAACACAATGGAACATTCATCATGGGAGATTTACAAAGCATGCTCATTCTTTCCCCCCTTTTTTTTCCTTTTGTACTTCATGCCAATAAAGTGGTTGCATGTGATTTTCCAGTTGCAAGGCTAGATTTACAAAAAGCATCCACAAACCACATACCTTGAGAGAAGTTATTTCTCTGGGCTGGATGCAATCTGAATTAGCTGAATTTAGGTCCCACTGAAATCAGTGTGAAAAATTAGTCATGACTCACACAAGTTGTACTGATGTCAACAGAAATTAAGTAAACCTAAGGAATTTCGTGGAAATACGGTAGGGTCAGTGTTCGAATTATGAGTTGGAAAGTACTGGGACCCTTAATGAAGTCCGCAATATCTACTCTCCTGACTCCTGCCAGTTTTAACCAAATATTGTGCACCATCACCATACAGTAGTTAAGGGAGGGAGGGGTACAGCTCCCTCATCTCCTGTAATGCAGGCATTGGCTAAATGTGATACAAACACTGTTGCGAGATGGTGTTTGTAGTTGGTATGTTTCCCCCCTTTCTTCCTTATGGCATTTTTGGAGGTGATTCAGATGAGTCATTGAAAGTGGTGAAAATATTGTAGATGATTATTTATTTTAGCATGGTGATTGTTATGAAAGTATAGGCATGTCGCAGGCAACATCACCTCCTGGGATTCCTTTGAAATGTGGGCTGAGCCAGAAGGTAGGCAGCTGGAATGTCACCAGCACCAAGCCTGCTTCCACATGGCTGATTATCGTGTGATCAGTGCTCTTCATGCATACAAGTTTTTCCCCCCGCCAGCACCCACATACCATTGTCGGCATCAAAACCAATCCATACTTTCTCTGCATTTAGTTTGGATTTATTTACGTTATTGGAAATCCCAATAAAGAACAAAAAAATCTGTTACCAATTAACTGTTTGTGATACTTCATCAACAACACATTTACAGTATAAAAGCCCTGTCTGGAAGCACCCCAGATCAGAGCAACCACAGTAGCAAAACCCTCCACACACGTTTGATGGCTTCCTCTATGGAGAAACTAGAGTTTCTTCATTCGAGAAACAAACAGGTGATTATGGGAAGAATAAACCTACTTCAACCTGTATGGGCATTTTTACGCCTACAATACATATAGCCCTCACTGAAAATGGCAGCACAGTTGACACAAACCAAGCTTCTAGGGATGTCCCAAAAGTGCGCTCTACACTAAGGCTCCCACTTGCTTATTGTGCGTTCATGATGATTCGTGCTCATGATGCTACTGTGGCAGACAAACATGATCTCACGTTCATTTCTCTTTGGCTCTGCAAAAGTTTGGTGGTGGCCACATTGCTTCATTTCCATATTGGTGCCTCTCTTGTAACTTCCTGCAGAAATGCCATAACTTTTCATACCACAATTGTCTGGGCATGGCGTTGTTGTTTTTTTGTCCTGCTTGGTTGCACTATAGCCCTCCCAGACAGCAAAAATGCTGAGGGAACATCACAGAACAACTAATATGCCTGCAATAAAACACCTCCCTGCAGGGGCCCTTTAGCCCTATTCAGGCACCCTTATAATATTGGAGGGGGGCAGTGGGGATGAGCAACTAGCTCCACCCCTTATCCCAGTCTCCATCATCCTCCATGAGATGAAGAATGTCTCTCTCCAGCAGAGAGCCCATTCCATGGAGGCATCCCGTGTGCTGCATAACTCTAATTTTCCAGGGTTCCAGAATGATGCACTGGGGAGCCTACTGAAGGTCCCCAGTTTCATGCAGTTGCCCATGGCATTCCCTACCATGTTCTGAATTTCCAGATTAGAAGAATGCCTGAATAGGGCTCTTGTTTCCTATGAAGAATGAGGACATGCACAGCAGTGATGAAAATAAAGTTTGGGGTTCTGGTAAAACATTTATCCCATACTCACTCCTTGCCACATATCCACCTAAGCTAAGGGGTTTGTGAAATAGTCACCTGAAGACTAACCCTGCAGAATCATAGAATTGTAGAGTTGGAAGGGACCCCAAGGGTCATGTAGTTCAGCTCCCTGCAATGCAAGAACCTCAGCTAAAGCATCCATGACAGATGGCCATCCAACCTCTGCTTGAAAACCTCCAAGAAAGGAAAGTCAACAACCTTCTAACAGGGACCATTCCACTAATGAACAGCCCTGTCAGAAAGTTCTTCCTGGTGTTTAGTCTGAATCTCATTTCTTGTAACTTGAAGCCATTGATTTGAGACCTACCCTCCAGAGAAGGAGATAACAAGCTTGCTCCATCTTCTATGTGGCAGCCCTTCAGGTATTTGAAGATGTCTATCATATCTCCTCTGTTCCAGGCTAGACATATCCAGCTCCTTTAACTTTTCCTCATAAGGTTTGATTTCCAGACGTGTGTGTGTGTGTGCATGCGCGTGCACATAAGAAAGAAAGAAAAATAAAGGAAGAAGTACATACTAGGGAGAACAACCATATGTTTACAGCAGAGCTATTTTAACAAAGACAAGATAGCAAGGTGCTGGCAATGAAGACTCAACAAAAACATATGCCAAGATTGTGCTTTCTCATGTGATGATAACAGTGTATCTGTAAAACTGCAGGCAAGGATCCCACTGGCACTGTAACAAGAGAAACTGCTCCAAGATGTGGGCAGTTTTCAGAAGTAGAATGGGAGAAGTACACATCATGAAACAGGGGGAAAGGGCCATAGTTCAATGGTAGAGCATCTGTTTTGCATGCAGAAGGTCCCAGGTTCAGTTCTCAGCATCAGCTGGTTGGGGTAGCTGTGCCATCTATCCGAAAACTCTGGAGAGTCATTGCCAGTCAGTATAATACTGAGTTAGATAGACCAATGGTCTGACTAAGTATAAAGCAATTTCCTACAGATCCTTCAAGTGTATCTATTTTCCAGGCACAGTCCCTGATTTACAGAAGTCATCCCAGTTTCTGATTTGATCCCAGAATGCCCCGCTTTTCCTTAGAACGTCCCTCTTTTCATTGGAGAAATGTTGGAGGGTAGGGAATTATCTGACTCCCGAGTCATCTGAAGGCAACACTGTATAGGGAAGTGGTTTGGTTTTTTTTTAAAAAAAACCAAAAACGTATTATTATGTTATTACAGTGGTACCTCAGGTTAAGTACTTAATTCGTTCCGGAGGTCTGTTCTTAACCTGAAACTGTTCTTAACCTGAAGCACCACTTTAGCTAATAGGGCCTCCTGCTACCGCCGCGCCACAAGAGCACGATTTCTGTTCTCATCCTGAAGCAAAGTTCTTAACCTGAAGCACTATTTCTGGGTTAGTGGAGTCTGTAACCTGAAGCATATGTAACCTGAGGTACCACTGTATATATGTTGGAAACTGCCCAGAGTGGCTGGGGCAACCCAATTTTACATAGTAAAATTATTCTTATTATGGAATAGGATGCCCCTGTTTTCATCGGAGAAATGTTGGATGTTCCTATACTCCTAAAAGAAACATAGGGTAGATGCTCATATTGCTCATAAGGCGTCTGTTATGGTGGCTGCTGTTTGTGTGGAAGAATTAGTGGATGTGAGGGCATGCTTGACCTTTTTACCCTTCACTAACTCTCCACACTTGTTCCATGATGAGACACAAGTCTGCCTTTGAGGGAAGCGGCCTTGAGACCAACTGCAGGAAAGCTGTGCGTGCAAGAAAAAAAAAGTTAATCACTTCTTTCTCCTACCTGCTCATCTCACTGTACAAATGCCTGCCTCCCACACCTCACTTCCTATTACCTCAGCAAATGGCGGGGGGTGAGAAACATATGTTTGCCTAGGTACTGAGTAATTCCACCCAGCTGAGGATGAGTCCTGTGGTTTTTGTTTTTCTGGATGATACATATTTGCCTCAGGAAAGAAGAAGAAGAAGTGTGATTAACTTAAAACAGTGCTATGTATTATGCAGAAATATGCAGAGTTAATGAATTTTATTAGTTATATATCAAGACTATTGACCCTGAAAGTTCAGGGGGAAAAGCATGCAAAGCACTCCATTCAAACATTAAGAAACACTAGCTTTCAAGAGCAACCACTCCATATTTATAAAATCATGAAGGGATTAGAAAGATTTGCAAAAGGAAAGGGAAAAAGAAAAGAAAATAAAATGCATTTTTTCCTGCCATCTTACTGAAAGAGCAGAGTTGGGGGAAGGGGGAGGGAATTATAAAAAGGCTCTTTTTAATTAAGCTTCTTATCCTTTGAAGTTTTCTGATTTTTTTTCACATTGATGATGTAATTTATGTAAATAATCATCTATCTATGAAAGGAGTGTGTCTGTCAAAAGCTAAAATAAAAAACATCCGTCATTTTGAAGTGATTAACATTCTCCAGATGTTTAAATCCTCAGATTTCAGGAGTTTCTCTTTGTTGTGATAATGATATAGTATCCAGAACAAGAATGTTTACTTTTTTTGTATGGGTCAAACACAGATTTTTCACAATCCTATTAAAGCATGCCGTGCATTGTAATTGTATGTACAGATGAAAGCATATTCAGTTATTATTATTCCCCTTTAATGGTAAACTGCTGCTGGTAATTTTACTGTAAGGCTGAAACAAAAGGAGCGTACATGAAAGGGCCACCATTGCTCACTTATGTAATCAATTTATAGATGTCAAGTTTGCGCAAAGATGCTTATCCTTTTCTGTTACCAGACATGAGACATGCTACCACCCTGCAGCACTAGGAAACATACCCTTCGCTTGGGCTATTCACCCCCTCCTCCATCTTTCAGGTTGCTTGGAAATACAGTAGATGTAGTTGATAATATTAAATGACAGCTAAGCATTGCTTTAGCCTAGGCCGTCCAACTTTGGAACTGAAGGAGGCTGACACAACTTAATATGTTCCTCAGTGAGTAAGATTTGAGGCACTGCCACACTCCCTTGGCAAAGGCCTAAAATGCAGAGAAGGTTTTCAAAACAGTGTCTTAAAATTAGTTTCTTGTCAGCCCATTTAAAGTTAGCTACATTCTTTCCTTCCTTTGACATTCTGAACGGGAACTTATATATATATATATATATATATATATATATATATATATATATATATGAAAAATACATAAATAAATGAAGAGTTAAACCCATTTCATTTGTTTCAACAGAAATTTTAGGCTGCAATCCTTTAGCTGCTGACCTGAGAGCAAGTGCTATTCAAATGAGGCCTACTTCAAAGTAGACATGTATTGGGTCATGCCATTAGTTATATTCATGACTGCAAATCATAAGGAAATAAAAAAGCATCTGAGTGTCCACTATTTCTTTCTTTCGCAGTGTCCTTTGCTATTGTTTGAAGGAATTTCATTTCCCCCTCAAAGCTAAAACTTTGCTAAATCTATTGGCTTTGATAAAATTCTGCCTGTTTGTATGTTTGTCTTTTTTATACAGTGGTACCTCGGGTTAAGAACTTAATTCGTTCTGGAGGTCCATTCCTAACTTGAAACTGTTCTTAACCTGAGGTACCACTTTAGCTAATGGGGACTCACACTGCCGCCGCACCGCTGTGGTGCAATTTCTGTTCTAATCCTGAAGCAAAGTTCTTAACCCGAGGTACTATTTCTGGGTTAGCAGAGTCTGTAACCTGAAGCATCTGTAACCCGAGGTAACACTGTATTAAAGGTAAAGGTAAAGGAACCCCTGACCATTAGGTCCAGTTGTGACCGACTCTGGAGTTGCGGTGCTCATCTCACTTTATTGGCTGAGGGAGCCGGTGTACAGCTTCCGGGTCATGTGGCCAGCATGACTAATCTGCTTCTAGCAGACCAGAGTAGTGCACGTAAACACCATTTACCTTCCTGCTAGAGCAGTACCTATTTATCGACTTGCACTTTGATGTGCTTTCAACTGCTAGGTTGGCAAGAGCAGGGACTGAGCAATGGGAGCTCACCCCGTCACGGGGATTCGAACCACCGACCTTCTGATCGGCAAGTCCTAGGCTCTGTGGTTTAACCCACAGCGCCACCTGCATCCCCTACCACTGTATTAGGCTTTCAACAAAAGCTTCTGGAGAACTTTCCCAAAACTAATAATAAAATTATAATGAATATAACATTGAAAAGGAAAACAGCTGCATAGAGCAGATAAAGCTGTGTAAAGAGCCTGAAGATATGTTTTAAAAAGTCTACACCTAGTGCTAAAATGTCAAGTTTAGTATTCGGGGGGGGGGGTGGAGAGAGAGAGAGAGAGAGAGAGAGAGAGAGAGAGAGAGACTCCAGCACCTGCTAGGAAATTTAGGTGTGCACAATGAAAGTGGATTAAAGCAGTGGTGGAGCTTCATGCTCCAGCACTGGGGGTGGGGAGGGGGAGGGGGGAAAGCAGGTGGAGGTGTGGCTAGCACGTGTCCCGGGGTGGGGCACACCACCTGTGGGGGCATGGTGCCCAGCACAGGCGGGGGAACAGCCGCGATGGCACCCTACCGGGATCGTGCTGCCGGGGGCGGTGCGCTGCCCCCGTACTCCTCTTCCTCTGCCAGTAGATTAAAGCCCTTGTCACCTTAGCATCACAAATACACTTCAAAAAAGAAACACACAACTTGCAGTTAGGAAAGTGAAGGGGAAACGCATCGTAAAAGTGTGGAATGAACAAATGATTAATGGGAAGACATATAAACAACCCACAAGCAAATCTGAATAAATGGAAGATGAATGGTCATTGTCAAATAACCTCCCCTAAAACAAATAATGAATGCTCAATGAAAGACCAGATGCGATCCAAACTTCACATAAGCTTTGTGCAAGCAAATCGGGATGAATGCTCAATGAATAGGTCATCTGGAAGAGCTCAACACTGTAGGTGCCAGGTGAGTCTCCCTGGAGAGTTATACTGTCTGAAAGTACGCTCTCCCCAGTTACCATCCGCTTCACCTCATGCGTCAAGAGCTCTTGGAGAAAAAGTATAATCATATAAGTTTACCACACTGGGAGGAGGCTTAATATTACTTACACCACTCTACTTTGTTGTTTTTTTCAAAAGATATTTATTGAAATTTTCAAAATGTTACAAAAAATAAACCAAAGAAAGTACAAACAATAAAAATAGTTGACAAAGTAGAAAAGGAAAAGAAAAGAAAAGAACAAAGAACAAGCCCTTCCCACCATATGAGAGAAAATTCAAAATAAGAAAAAATAACAGAAAAAAAGGAAAATACAAAAATCACAAACCTTTAAAAACATTTAAAAACAAATTCATTATTTTCAAATCCTTAACTGTCCTTGCCTTCTTTCTTAGACCTCCTCCTTCTCCCTTTCTTTGTATCCTAGTTATTAATTATCCCAGCAAATCCTTTCCATGTTTCATAAAATTCTATCCTTGCATTACCCTAAACTATTTTGATCTTATCTTTCTATAATAAAATAAACCTTAAAACTTAAAGCTTAAATCTTATCCACCAACTTCTCATAACCATAATATTTTTTCATAATTCTTTAAACATCTTTGCTAAAGCCAAGTAATTTCATTCCAACATTTTTCTATCATTCATCACTTTTATAAAACAGTTCTAATGGTAGAAAAAAGGGGTACAAACAGATCCACTCTTCATCCAGCGTCCCTTCCTCCTGGTTCCGGGTTTTGTCAGTCCTTATTCCCGTCAATCTAGCCCATTAACCTGGCAACCTTATATCCGAGGCCCTCAAGTCTCTTCCATGTCCCTTCCGCGGCTCTTCTTCATATTTGTAACTGTATTTTCCCTTGTCTCCTGCTCGTGGTAACTCCAGCTTGACGATGTTTTTAGCCCTTCTCGACAAATCAGCCC